TTCCAGGTCGATTTGCAGTTTTTAGTCTTAAAAAAAAATGAATCACGTGACCAAGCAAGGGAAAGAGTGACTATAATTACACAATATGCAAAAAAATGATTCTACTAAATTGTTATAATCAGTTTTTCTGAAATGAATATATAATTGTTAAAAAAATTAGAAGTATTTCAATTAATGACACTTTTAGTCGTGAATTTGACAGTTTTCTCAAAAAAAAGTCTTTTCACGAACAGGGAACCTCTTCTTCCGTACCACTTTACGCAGATTACAAAAAAATTTGTTAAAATGGCGGGCACCCCCTCTACGTCGTGCATAACTCTATATTACAGACACTTTACAAGACAAACACTTCTTCATAATGGTTCCATTTCACAGATCCTGTTTTTCAGAAAAAAAAGCACATGCATACCGAATAGCTCTGAATACATACTCGACGTTTTTCTATGAAAATTTCTACTAATTAATGAAAAGGTATAAAAGGATTGACAGTAACTTTTGCCTCTGTGATGAAAAAAAGTACAATTGTAATTAGCAGAAGTATAGGAAGTGTTAAGGCCGATTTAGACGACGAAAACGTTTGTGTTGCCTACAACCATCGCATGCAACATGCGTGAGTCATTCTTACAACATGGCTACAACTGTCGTGGGTCCATTAAGCAATTGTTTTAAAATCCTACGACAGTTGTAGCCATGTTGTAAGGATGACTTACGCAGGTTGCATGCGATGGTTGTAGGGAAAAGTTTTGTCGAAAAAAACGGCCTTWAGTATGTATTAGTAGTATTTATATCAATTTCATTAGGTTTTTTGTAAACTAATCTATTTTTAGATATCAATAAACATACACAAAATTGTCATAGGTTGGTTCAACTTGTTCATTAAATTTTTGTGCTATTTACAATTTAAATACTTTTCCAAATAAATATGCTAAAAAAAAAATGAATCAATTCATTGATAATCTCTATTTTCCACGTCTCACACGTTTTCCAGCAAAAAAATTTCTCTGCTGTGCACTTCTAGAGTTGTCCTCGTTGGCATCTGTTTCTTGGGAATTCCTAGCATATTATCAGATCTACACTTGATACCAGCCCTACACGAACTGTTYAACCACAAAAAAACCGATAAGGTCAAAGGTAAAATGCTTGGCAGGGACTCGGGTCTCTTAACTTTAGTTTTGATAATTGGTGATACGTCGACCGATCTCGGATGAAGAAGTACATTTACATTTCTTAAAAAAACATCTGTTTCTTGCCTCGAGTTCAGATTTGGTGATAACATTACCATCCTGGTAAAAAAAAACRTTCTCTTTAYCAGGTTTGCCGGGCTAGCCGCTGTTGGATGACAGCCCTTTGGCATTTCAAACTTTTTGCAACATACCAGATCAATGCAGGCCCTCCTGAGTATGGCATTTGAAAAGAAATAGATAAAAGGGTTCAGAATTGAGTTAAATAAGCCTAAAGAATACGTGGAGATACGAATGACGTCACCATGGTTTGGAAATGGTGCGATATTAACCTCGATAAATCCACCGTAAATGACAAAAGGAAGCCAGCAACAAATRAAYGCGACTACAACTATCATCAACATACGAAGCACTTTCTTCTTTGATTTACGGAAAATTTGTTCGGAACCCTTGTTGGTGTTGTTTTCGAAAAAAACTCGGTGACGGAACCACACGACACGAACAATCATCCCGTACATTATTGTCAGCAAAAAAACGGGYAACACGAAGCACGATAACGCAACAAACATGAGAAAACCATAACCAAGTTTAGTGTTGTACGGTATTGGTGTACAGTAACCAATRGTGACGTTTTTTGAGACTGTAATGAAAAAAACTTTAGTGAGATAAAGCGTAGGTAGAAACTGTACAATTGACACTGTCCAGGCAAAAAAAACCATGATTTTTGGTCTACGTAGAATTGATCTGGATTTTTGAAAAGGTTTTACCAAAAAAAAGTATCGGTCAATGCTGATGACAGTCAGAAGCATCGTTGAAATGGTTGGAGATAAAAAAAAGAAACAAGAAACGTGTCAATGTTAAGAGAAACYTGATTGATAGACAGACAGAAAAAAAATTAGGGTACAGACGATTTCAATGAAACCACCCCACCCCAGCCATATACAAGCCAAAAAAAATCGTACATACACCATGACGCTCGTTTATTTCCTATCGTACCCTGTTTTCCATAAAAAAATTCAATCATTACCTGAAAAAATCTGCTAGACTTGCAAGCTATGACACTGCCAAAAAAAAATGAACTCAGCGACAAGAAGTTCATGGCAACAGTAAGCGGAATACATACAATACAAAAAAATAGGTCAGACAGAGCCAGGTGAAGTAGAAATGTATGGACGTTTGACCGCTTGCAAAAAAACTGCAGTCGCATGATCACTAGTATTACTAAACCATTGCCAATCGTTCCAACCAAAAAAAAAAAAACTGAAAAATGGAACATTTTGTTACTTTTATTAATCTAGGAATTGTCTAAAAAAAAATACATTTGCCCTTATAAACATSATATCAAAACCAAATACATTTGAAAGTCTGAAAAAAAACAACCCTTGGCAGGCGCGTAGCGTGGACGTTTTGGCTAGTACGCACGTCAGGAAAAAAAGCACATATTTTGGATCTAGGGGTTTAACGACCGTCAATTTTGAAATAATTATAAAAAAAAAAATGCGATCTCCAGCGTTTTGAGAGATATCGAGGGCATATAAAAGGAGTCAAAAAAAAACGAATTTTTCAGTAATTTTTGTGAAAATTCAGTTTAAAGTTTCCTTGCTCACTAAAAAAAACGTGCTTATATGCGCTACGCGCCTGCTTGGTCAGCTCGTCTTAACGCTACAGAAAAAAATGTAAAATACTCCGACGAATGATTAACGTCCGAAACGTCAGTAAGTTATTTCAAAAAAAATTTTACGGTGTTAAATTTATCTTTTTACACAACTGTTTCTTTTCAATTTTTATAAAAAAACCTTTTTTTACGGTGTTAAATTTATCTTTTTACACAACTGTTTCTTTAGAAACAAAAAAACAACTCACACTAGTTTACCGCTAGTTCCCACCGTCTTAACGCTTTTCGTTTCAAAAAAAAATCTCTTATTCGTTAAAACTGACGAAAAGTGCATTTCATAGAGCAAACACATTAAAAAAATTACTTCCGAAGTTTGATTGACACATTATCTCTCTTTTAAGTTCAATCTATTTAAAAAAAGTGGTAAACACAAAGGATACGAAAAGTAAATAAAAAAGGGGACTGTGTCAAAAAAAAAAAACTAAGCCTTGAATTTCTATCGTTTGAAGACGCATATTGTCATCAAGAAAGTGTTGATGCGTCTCACTCGAAACCCTTATAAGTTTCATGGGGAACAACTTTAATTGTTCCTATAGACCATTTAGGATGTTTTGTGATAATCCTTAATTGTAAGGTAATCAATAATACAGTATAATGGTTCCCACTGCGCATGACATGCAACTGGTTCTGGCCTTTGTTTATGTTATGTGTAAAAACTATTGAGTCATCAAGACATTTTTATCCTTAAATGGTTCATTGTATTCTTATTAAATCAAGCAAAGATGATGTTTAATTGTACTTTAATAGAAGAATATTTAACAGAAGGAAAACTGAAAAAAACAATCAACACCCACATTGAAAATATGGCGAGACATCAAAAATAATGCGAACAACGTTACAAAGACATTGACAGTAATACTAACATTAATATCGGAATCTCTACTYTGCCTTAATGATAGAAMTGCGACAAGAAAATGATCAAAGAAAGTACGCACATTGTTAATTTTTGTAATCAAGTGGGTGCTTTTATCTTAGTCGAGGTTAGTTACTTGCCTTGGGCCTTRATTAAGACAACATGAAATGTGCATTAGTCCTAAAGGGACTCAGATAGGAAAACATTCAAAAAAGCACTCTTGCTACACGCTCGGATCATCGACAACTTGTAGACACTGCAATTGAATTAAGTTAACCCAATATTCAAGTAGTAAACAGTGTAGTTAGAAGAACGCCAGGAAGGTTTGGCTAATCTGGTCGACCATTGCTAAGCAGTAGAAAACACTGTCGACTGTCAGTAATATTCACCATTAGAGAGTACTGAGACTTTTAAGTCTTAAAAGAGCTCATTTCATTTCACTTTTCGTATTGTCGAAGATACATTTTGTCATTTGATGAAAACACTGTCGCGAAAATCAATATGAAAGGTTGCACCTGGAGTAGAGCAGCAAAACGAGACTTTCCTTGAATACATAACAAATAACATGTATAAAGTCAACAAAAAACTTACCAAAAAACGCAGTTATAACAAGAAGAGAAGTCGATTGTCCAGCCATTAAGTCAAAGTGGTTGCTGTGGTTTGATGTATTCATCGTTACTGCAAAACCATAAACATAAATTACAAGACGACTAACGTACAGGTGGAAAATATATGATAAGATCATTTATAATTCAAGGGTTTAGGGATATTCAATTCAATAGAAAGTGCGAGTTAAAGGATTAACCATTCATTATTTGTGTTTTTTTTTATTCAAAATCATCTCTTTCTCTGGGCTCAGAATATACTATAAAGAATTTTTTCAGAATATATACACATATCCTTTCATAAACTACACTATATATAGATGTCCCTTCCTCTTCATTGTTGAAATGAATCACAAATGACTGACTGCCAAGTRACGCCCCAACCAAATACTTCGTACAAATGGCTGTTGATTATTGTTTTACTTACTTATTAATGATGCTAGAATAATACTCAAAATTGGACATTAAAGCACGGGAGTTAATTTTAATCGATAATAGAATTATCCTTTACGGATCATGTGATTGGTCATGCAGTATGTCTGAATTGTCATACATGCGCTTTTTCTAAAAATATTATGTCATGTACTATTTCTTTTTAATTCGTCTTAAAKATTAGATACCAAATAGAAAAGCTTTACCGAAATTACTCATTAGCTTAAAGATTAGATATCAAATAAAAAGCACTCGCAAAAATTACTCAAAGATTTGGCCATGTTGTGCAATACTAGCTATAAGTCATTTCACAATATGTATGAACCAATTGAGTGTGTTCAGAATGTAAATCGATAAATAACACTGATATAAAAGATCCGGTCCTACCATATAAAGCATTATTCATTCTGTCTTCAATGGTAAAATATCAGTTCGTGATWGGTTAAATTACAGATAGAAAAGAAAATAGCGAGAAAGGAAAGAAGACTAGGCGAAGACACTTTTTTAAGTATAACATAAGTTTAGGAAAAAGAAAATTATCACAAGCGTGAAAAGTGAGATTTTTTATTTTTGAATTAATCAATCTGAAATGTTGTTTCGTCGTAAGTGGTAAAGAGCGCAGATATMAACTAGCTTGCGCCTTGCTATAAGTTTTTCTTGTTTCATATCATGACAGGTTACTGACCTCTAATAGACAAGATGTAAGGTAGAAATGAGGTGCACAAAGCCATCCATTTGAACCTCACATTCTCCTCACCGCTATCTTTATCCAAAGTTGGATCATCAAGCTGAGTAAACTTGCAGGTATTAACACCGAATCATAATGACTCTCMTYGTGCTCGGAAATTCAAAATCTCCTGTTTACCCTACGACATCTTATACTTTACTACATTAAA